AAAAAAAAAAAAAAAAAAAAAAAAAAAATTAAACAAAAACAAATTTATTCCAGCTAAATAAAGCTGGGGAAAAAAAAAACATTTATACATAAAGGCCAATACAGTTAAGCAAGAAAAATAACTATCGGTTTCCTACAATTTTGGAATGACCCAGTCTTTAAAATTAGCCTGGGATATGCCCTTGCTTCGCTAAAAAATCATGCTGTCACGTAGCAAATTAAGACATGACTTTGTCGACAACTCTTTACTATACATACGATCTTCTTTTTTAGAACTTAAGGACTGAATTCCATTGCTTTCCACTAAAGAAACGAAAATGTAAACCTCAAACGTTCAAAGGCCCGCAGGTGTAGGGCCAAGGCTTTGAGCAATCCAACTTCTCCACGCCTACCTAAGGGAGAGGGAAACGGAGAAACAGTCCCCTATCCGGCCTAACAGGGTCGGGGCAATAGTCGGCCCCTGCTGGGGGAGGACCTAAACTGGGTGTGTTGCCTGCCCTCTTGGACTTTAAAATCCGAAACAGTAACTCCTGCAGCTCTCTGCCTTCACAAATAAGAGTTAGATCCGTGAGGGCTGGTTAACCTTCCCTGGGGGCCCTGCCACCAGAATGGCATTCACGGAACGTATGGCAAAGCGTAATGATGTTGAACATGTATTCAGCGCATAAGAAACCAAACTTCGAGTATCCAGACCCCAAATCTGAGCCCTTCCTCCCATCAGAGTCTCCTTTGCTTAAGAAACCCCCCAGTAAGGAGATAAAACCTATCATCTCTGTGCCTCCACCTCGCTGGGTGGCTCAGAAATCCTTTCTAGGAATCAATTCTTGAATTTTTATATTTAAAAAAACCTGGATGTGGCACTCTCATTCGAATGGGGGAGGGCTCGTTCTGAAGCTGCGTTCACAAGAAAAGCAACATTTAGCTAAAGTGTCCAGCAGAAGGAGAGGGGTGCAAAACCCCCTTTTCAAACCAGGCTTTGGCAAAATCACTGTCCCTTCCGGTCTGGGCCCTCAGTTTCCCCATCTGTTTATGTTTAGTCTTCCCCCAGCCCACCCACGTACCTCAAGCCCAGCGAGACCACAGAAGGCGGCTGGCCAAGGTACGGGGCGAACCGCAAGGCCCGCATCAACCCTAAAAGGCCGGCATCCCGGGACGGAAAGGTTAGCGCGGGGCGCGCAGGCTACTCACGGGTCGCCGAGGTCCGGGCCCCGGCCGCGGCAGTAGATGGGGTTGAGCTCGTCCTGGGGGAAGGCGTGCGCCATGTAGTTGTCGTAGCCGAAGACGAACATGCCCCGCGCCAGGTCGCGCATCTGCGCCCGCAGCTGAGGC